ATTACAGTAGTCATAATTATTTCCTCCTTCCTCATCCAAATCTATCAGTTTATGCCGCAGCCACTGTAATGACAGGCGTTATGTTTCCATCCGCATATCGCGGCTGATCTTGGCTCGCTGAAGAAACAGACTTTAAGCACAGCAGACTGGTTGATGTTTCAGGTCTTGTTGTAGCATCGACGCCTCATCGGAATGGGACGTTTTGGTCCATGTTGAATGCGACCAGATCGGTGGTTGTTGTCAATGTTAGGTTTAACGGTCGCAGCTTTGAATCTGAATAAATAGGAGGTGATCATCTGCGTCAACTATTTGGTTTAATCCCTCGTAATATACAACATTACGCTCTCTGTCAGTGATATATAGTGCCGTTGTCAAACTTGTGAATTTCTGATTCATATTCCATCGTGGTAACTGTCGTGACATCATTAAGTCAGGTCGAAGCCCGGTCGTTGACTTCATTCCTCCTGTTGCCTATCAGCGGAAAGCTGTAGGTGAGTAAAATACGATGCTGCTGACCGATTTTCATTTTATTCTTCGATTTCATCGTGGTGGCTGCACGAAGTTCAGATCACTAAAGCAGGAATTATATAATTTGCTCGTTGCCTCTGTATCAATTACTTGATAGGATTCCTTACATTATGCATCGATCGAAATCTTTCTGAATATGAAACGTTTGCCACAGTTGTCAGTTTCCAAATTTGGCTTTCCTTTGGTGATTGCGTGATTTTTTAAATCAGCGCGACTTCACGTAATCCAGAGTTTGAACGCATGTAACTACTTTCGATGCCATCTGCGTCCTATTTGCTATTCATTCATCGTATGGACTGATAGGTCCTTAGTTCAAGCTCCGGAAGGAATCACTCATATTTCGTTTTTGAGATTGATAAATACGCACCACTCTATGGGAAAGAAGCAGTAAGTTACAGGCTACACTTGCTGTAGACTCTGCCTAATTTAATAGGGCGCCAAAATGACGCAGTCGTGAAAGTGAAAGCAGACCAACATTCCAACGGTAGCAAACAGTTGTTTTTCTGTGGATATTGTCCACCGTATTTGACGTTTCTTTTGGCAAAACAGCCACACAGTATATACTTTGGTCAGAGTCATGAGTAACCCACGATATCCGCTAACGTTGTCGATCGATGCCATCTTCTTGAAGGACCTTTCGGTTTCGTATTCGATAGGCGTACTCTGTTGTTGGAACCATCGCATGACAATGCACGTGATATTTCGTGATTTAGCGATACACGTGATTTTCCTCCTGGTATTATGCAGTTCAGTTTTTGAAGAAAAACCAACTGACGAATGGCAATGACGCGAGGTTGTTTCGTTTTGTTCACCGCTCTGCCACCGTTTTTCTGATATGGCTCCCTCCAGGCGATAAAAGTATTTCCACATTTTCAACAAAATCATGTTCGGTTCACGTTAATGTCTTCTCATCCTAATTCACAAACTTCACTTCGCAAAGGGATCCAGAGTTTAAAGTTCTCTATGACGTTGTTGCAGGCCTACGTC